TAGGTGTCAAAAGTGCATGAGCTTCAGAAATTCCACATATTCCAGCAGCACGGAATAATACAGTAAAATTGTTTGCACACACATAAAAATATGGACATTGCCGTGCTCTTAATAAATGAAAAAGAGATCTAAAACTTTCACTCCATTCTTTGTATAAAGCTTCTTTAATGGCTATATTGTTTACTATTGATATATTACTTGTTAAATTTGCACTCACTTTGCCAGCAGAGCGAGGAAATAACTCTAGCCATGGTAATGAAGGATGTTGCCAAATTAAACAACATCTGTGTAATCTGTTCAGCAGATACTTTAATCAATGGATCTGTCTTTTCTATTAAATTAAAATATATAAAATATTATAAAAATTACCTTGCATTTGGACTAGTATCTAAAGTTGAATCTTTTTCACTAATATCCAAACATCTTACAAAACCAGTAGTACCTGATGCTTCTTCACTAGTTTTTAATTTACAATTCCATGGAAATGGTTTTGGAGACATAAATCTCATTTTAGTTTTTAAAGTCCAATCCATTGGAATATATTTTTCTCCTTTTGGAATTTCTGAATCTAAAATATTCTTATTTGTTTCCAATTGTAAAAATGCATTACTGAATGTTAATGGACAATCGAGTATTACATTCTCAATTTTATTTTTTTTAGGAGTTTTAAGTTTTAATAATTCGAATAATGTGTTATCATTACTAGTTTCCAGCTCTGGAGATGTTATATTCAATTTTTTATTTTTTATTTCATCCTTAACGAAAGGATTTTTTCGTTTTTGACCTATACATTCATTAGATTCATTTAATTCAGTATTTTGCGTATTCTCAATTGTTTTTTGAGTAGGTCCTATTTTTGAATTTTCTCTATTAATGCGTGTATTATTTATACGTGCTTGAAGTGCACGTTTTTTCATTTTTAAACGATGCAACTGCATTACTTCGTCTGGTCTTTTCCATTCTAATAGTTGCACTTTGTTTATATTCTCCATTGGTAATTGAAATAAATTTTGTCATCCTATCACATAAAAAATATAAATAATTTACTAATAATAATAATAATGATATCTAATATTAAAATAATTGCATTATAACATTAATTTTTCTTTAAAAATTTCGTTTTTGAATTACAATTATAGGTTAAGATTTTAAATATTTTATATTTCTATTTCTTTGAAAATGTTGAATATTTTTTAATAATATTGTAAGAAGATAAATATACAATAGTTAGATATACATACGGCTATTTAAAACTTTTTTGTCAATTTAAAAATATTGTCAATTAAATGAAAATTCCGACACTCACTAAAGTCACTATTAAACTCACTACTACATAAAATGTAGTAAAGTAAACAAGATGTCGCATCGAACGCATATATTATAACTGTACTTTACTATAACTGTATTTTGCTTTAACTGTACTATACTTATATATATATATATATAAAATATACACATAATATGGAAAAATTTCAGCATATTTATTTTATTTTCAAAAATATTTCAAATTATATTTTATTATTTAAATAATAAAAAAATATATAATATTTAATATATAATATAATAAAAAAATATAATTTTATTTTTATAAATAAATAAAAAAATAATCGAAAAAATAATAAGTAAATTAATTTTAATATTTTATTTTATTTTATTAAAAATATAACAAGAATAAAATATTAAAATTAATTTATTATTCTTTCAATTATTTTTTTAAAAATAAAATCATATTTTTATATAATTATATGATTATTTGTTGCATGATATATAAATTTAAATCATAGATTTCTATAATACTAAAAATATAACAAGAATAAAATATTAAAATTTATTTATATAATTTATTTTCATTTATTTTTTCGATTGTTTTATATATATATAATTAAAGCATATTATATGATATTTTTATTTTTCATACAGTTTTGAATAGAAAAGAATTGCTTTAGCCAATAAGAAAATAGCAATCAATGACGTCATTCAGTTATTAAAAATCGTGACAAGATGTGTCGTTTTCGGATCGATAAAAGTGTGTGATATTTGTAAAATTTTTATTGATATAATTTATAGACTATTATTAGCTTTTTATAATTAATACTTCGCTGTTTAATGATAATTTATTATAAAATTTTTTATTATATTCAAAAGAGACAATTACAAACGATCAGACATAGTTTATCGTGCCATTTGCATTTAGTCTTTCTTCATACATATTTGTAAGAAATTTTGACACATAATTATAATTTTTTTTATCGAAAATATAACTTCATTTCGTAGATATAGGTATGTAATATTGTTTTTCATTCTTTACGATCAGTTTCATTGAACTAAATTATTAATAATAAGACGCATTTTTTTCTATTTATTATTATATATTATTATATATTTTTATCTATTTATATATTTATGTATTTGTTACGTATACTTAAAAAAAAATATTCATTGTTGAAAATTCTTACCACAATCTTTCTAGTGATTCGTGTTTGCACGATTTGTTGTCAAACTATCCCCTCTCCAATTTGAAATTCGATAGGCATAACGGCGCAAGATTCATTATTGTGTCGACATTTGTAATGTTTAGACGCCGCTTCTTTTCGTGCTGTGTAATTTTTCTGGTGCGTATTTACTTATTTCCAAAGCTATATTTTTTGTTAGATATATAATTTATTATATAATAATAATAATTAATACATATTTATTATCATAGTTGATAATTTTTTGAAATTAAATTATTTTTTTTTATCGATTTATTTAGATTGGCAAATAATTTACATTACAGGTTTCGAAGATGAAATTTTAGCTTGATTCTTATTTTATTTTAATATAATTATTTTTGGAAGTGCATTTGATACATTTATTTTAAATTTTTTATTTTCTTTTGTGATTAAATCATTAGATGATTGCTGCAACGACTTAGAAGGCGGAAAAAGGATTTCAAACATAGACGCCATGATGATAATTCTTGTTTTAGAGACTAGAGGTAAGTGTAACAAATTTTCGTAGCGCGTATTGAGCTTCAGTTGATAATGTCGAACAATATCAAAAATGCACAGCGAGTGCTGCCACATGATAAGTACGTATTTTTAAAAATTAAGAGAAAATACACAGGTTTTAATATTTTTTAAATATTCAAAGTGAATATTAGAAATTTTTTTTAAAAAAATATTTTTTTTTTTTTGGTAACTTATCGCACAATCTATCATGAAATAAATTTGATTTAAAAATATTTTTGGTCCCTTTATTTATATTTTTTTAGTTTTATTTTGATACATAGAAAGTCTTGTGAAGTTTTCTTTTTAAAATAAAACTTTAAGATAAAGATCTTATAAAATTATTTTACCTTCATCGTGATATGATGTATATCTATTATGAAAAAATAAAATATAAAATTATGAAAAAATGAGGAAAAGGAAGTGAGATATAAGGTTATATGCAATTGTAGACAATATATATACAACGTTCGATCGCATATTTTTATTTCGAAACATCGAATTTCCTGACGTCTAAATATCCGCAACGCTGATACCAATGATAAGATGATTGTGAAATGTATTTATTATCAACGTCTCATTAAAGCATTATTAGGAAGGGCCAAGCTGCTTCAGCGTTTCCAAGTCTTGTATTTTTTTTTAATATTATTTATTTTGCGGTGCGTCTTTCCATCGATCCATCGATTTTGTAAATCGACATTTAGCAAAATGAATTTGCAAATCTAAATGGGCGCATACATTGACAACATCCATTGATCTAAAAATGTTTTCAACATTTGAAAGTAGGAAAGGGGGAATAGGAAGATGTGGAGAACACGAACCTCCAGATTTTTATTTTTTTCTCTTTCTCTTTGGTTCGTCATTCTCTCTCCTCTCTCTCTTTCTCTCTCTCTCTCTATCATTCACACACACGTTCAAATAATTCGAATTTTTTTTTTCGTTTAGAATTGCAAATACTCTCTCTTTGATTTGTATTACGCTCAAACACACACGTTCACAACATTCTTGCTTTTATTTGTTGTCTTTTGGCACAAAATTATCCGGCACTCAGTTTAGCAGTGACCAACAGCGGATGCCTTCTTCACCGCGGCCAGAGTAGCACTGGTATGAACAGACACATCGATAAATAATGCGATAACTTTTTCCAACATCCGAACGATCCTTTAAAGCTGTTACCGGCGCCTGAACTTTGCGCCGCTTCAGCTAAACCTGAACGATACAATCGATATTATTTCGTGCTACGTATTTATTTGATAATAGTCATCGTCGTGAAAAGGAGAGCTTACCGCCGATTATAGATACGTGATCCTTCCCTCGTGATGATCTGTCGAAACCAATCTTAATTTCTGAAAATAGATGATATATGCGTATATGTACACTGATAATATTTTCGTTAAAATTATTTTAATTTTAAAATCATTCAGAGAGAGAGAGAGAGAGAGAGAGAGAGAGAGAGAGAGAGAGAGAGAGAGAAGAAA